CCGTATACGATTGCAATTATAAACACGTTATTGCTAGCCTAATATGAACCACTAGCTTTTGTTCATAGTAGTTTTATTACACTGCATTATAGTTGCCTTTCCTCCAAGCTAACGTTCATATCGTGTTAGCTACCAAGGTAAACAAAGCTAGGTTAGCATATTAGCAGGCAAGCTGTTCATTACACAACTACTACTAACGAATCTAAAACAACTAAGTTTCTCTAATATTTTGTGATTTGCATTTGATTTCGTCCAGCCAGATCCTGGCGGACAATCCATGACGGGGAAGGGATTCTACTACTACTGAGGCGTCGTGCTAAAAGGCACCGCACCGCACCGGCTGTGCGCAGGCAAGAGGAGGAGGAATGGATGATATACCGTGTATATATGTATATTTATGTTCATTTTGTACATTTCTAAAAATAAAGTTTAATGGAAATACTTAGTAGGCCTATCCTTTCTTCCCTGAATTCATATATAGCAAACCATGATTTGATTTCTCATCAAACAGTAGTAGTTTATAACGGGTAAAAATAACTTACTCTTTGTTATGAGCGGCTCGTAGGCCACAACGGAAAGACAAGGAGACATACACGAGTTTACAAAACCACGGCACATTTATTGTGGTAAATGCAAAGATAGGTGGTTGAGAGGATCGCAGAGTTAGTCTTCCTGCAGCCGCTTTGGAGAGAGACTGGGGCCGTAGTGTCCGGAGGTGTCCGTGATCGTGCTGATTAGCTTCTTCAGCTCCACCCCATCGTAAGACAAAGGCCCTGGGGCCGTCACACTCTTCTATAACAACAGTTAAAAATATATATGTATATAAAATATACCGCTGTACCGACGCCATGATAAGACTGATGTTACGCTGAGAGCAGCCGGGAAAAGCACTGACATGGGCGCAGCCTCTCTGGTGGTTGACTAATCAGAACGAGTGGCCGAGCTGACCAATCGGAGCACACTAGGCTCACAGGGAGGGGGGGGCAAGAGCTCCAACGAGTCGTTTAGTGGAGAAAGTGAATACTGCTGAATACACATGCTTGACAGAGATGCTGTATGCGAAACCAATGTGAGTTTGGAAAATTGCACAGTATAAATCTATTTTAGTATACCTCAACAATGTAATTATGATCAGTGGAAATGGCCATGACATGGGCCCTTTAAGTCTCTCAGTTACCAGAATCAGCACTCTCACTACTTTTTGCTAACTCCTATTCAGAAGGGATGTGGTCTGTTTATTTTGTACAGTACTTCCTTTCTGATCTGCTACTAATTCAACAGAGGAAGAGATTTAAGATGTCACTTTGACAGAAACCTGGAATGCAAACTTTATTCAGTCAGTTTTTCATGTCTTCTTGTTTCCCTCTCTTGACATGCTAGGCTTGCTACACACACTGACTCACATTGGCTCAGGACTCAACTGTAGTCTGTTTTTCCATGTACAAGAGAGGGTGCAATTTCTGGGGCACAAAAAAAAAAGGTTTAACCAGCAAATTCCTGCTACGTCATGAAGTAAAATATTTAAGTTTAAGTAAAAAATATTTACAAAGACAGTAGGAGAGAATGGAGATCTTTCCTTGCTGATTATATTGGTGGTATTGACAAGTTATGTAAATATTGGTACCAAATCTGAACATTCTTTTAAAATTTGTTATCTTTATTTTTCAGGAGTTATTTTACATCTAATTCTATGTATTAAATGTATATAATATACTGCATTATTTTCTAATATACCAAGATGTAATAAGTCAACAGTATGAATAATACAAGTTTGGTTAGGGGGTATACTGTTGGATGTTTCATGAAATGTGTTTTTAATTTACTTTAGATTTATTAAAAGGGAACATTTTTGTATATGTTCAAATGAAAAATATAACCTGTATTTACTTATTTCGTATGAATGTACAATCCTATATTCTAATAAACACTATGCCTGTTGGCCCTTATTTGGAGGAAATCATTCATTCAAAACGTTAAGATACTAAGATTGCTAAAAACACAAGTGTATTATTATTTAAGTCATAAATAATTCATTGTGCTCCAGGTCACCATTTGAGAGGTTTTTATTTCTTCTTCTCAGTGCAAAAGGGAATGCTTTACAAATTCTGATAATAAAAAAAAGAATGCAACAAATGAATCATTATTAAATTGTACTGCATCATGGGTGACAAGATTAAACTAATTCACTCTTGATGGTGGGATGTGACTCAGTGGCACAAAATCATCATGTATTGAGGGGGGGTTTTAGTAACTTCTCGTTGTGATCTATAAAAAATAAAAAAAACAGATTAATGGGTTAGTAACAAGTGAGATTATAGGGAGTAGATATTTAGAAGCAAATGAGAAACAACAGAATGAATTATGCCCAAAGTCTGAAAAATTCAATAACGATGTTTCCTAGCAAAGAAAAAGCAATATGCGATATCATGTGGATCTCCCAGGAGAAGTGATACAGGAGTCTACATTATCACATGTGCTATCTGGAGTAGAATAAGAATAGAGTGATGAACTGCCAAGCATAATTCATGTGACTGAGAAGGTATATTACTTGTTTTGCAAGCATAAACCAATATATGAGTGAATCTGTTTAAAAACCTACATAAACAACTTCAAAGTTAATTAAATCTCCCCTCTTTTGTAGACAAAAAATACTCTTTGCTATAATCACTAAAGTACATCTTGCAGAGAAATGTTCTCATATTCAAATGTGTCACAAAACACATTAAAATTCTTCAAACTATTTGGCCATCATGACTTTAACCAGTTTTGTTTTTGAACAAGACTTGGGCAATGGCATAGTAATCATAAAATGCCCTCTGAGGTGTAACCCAAAAAATCTCTAAACTGAGAAATGCATGTGTGATATAAATATGTACCTTCTGAGAGGCAGATGCACGTCTGTTTCAACCAATGAAGTTCATCACGACCAGATGAAGGACGGTCTGAGCGAACAGGAAGTCGGCAAAGGCTCTCTCCGGAGAGATGGACAGGAAGTCTGCTTTATTCTGTGGGTTGATCTGGATACGAAGACATACTGAGAAAAAAGAAAAAAAGACACGCAGAATTTAGTATTATGGCACTTTAGACTCATAAATAAACACTTATTGCACTAAGACTATTTTTATAAATGTTCAAACATAACACGAATATCACTTTTTAAACTTGTAGTGACTTCAGCACTACGATAGACATACTTAGGTTTTTTAAATGAAAATAAAGTAAAAATGTAGTCAATAAATCTCAGGCTAGTTAAATAATCAATTACAATAAATGTATCATGGACACATGCTAAACATTCTCTTGTATACGCTTGTCCAATATGATAATTGGACAGGAGGGATTTATCCCTGTCCAAACCTTGAGAAGATTCACCTCTCAGTGTTTAACTCAACAAAACTTTGAGAAAATTCCATCAAACTAAAGACTTCGCCTTTTTCAGTTATTTTTGTGTGTTTTCCTGGTATTCAATCAGAAAAGGTTTAATAGTTTCTAAACCCCTCTCTTTTATTTATTATATTTGTCCGGTCTCTCTTTACTGGATTTAAAACGAGACCTAAAGCAATTTCCTGTATTTCTCCAAGGACAAGGTATTCCAGCTTATAGATAGTATATGTGTCGAGGGACAGTATGATTAGAACAAGAATGACCCTAAAACTCCTCTACTGTCAACAGGATGTATTACATTTACATTATCTGCTGTGTATTCTACAAATGTCTTGTGCAAATAATTTGTTCACTTGTTCATAAGTCAATACAAATATTCATAATAAAACATCAGTGTAACGTAGTATATTTCATAAAAGCACCAAAAAAATGTCCATGTTAGATCAAACTCAATATGATAACTTAACCTACATCAATGTATGGTTTTATTGCAGTGCTATTGTAAGGTGATCAAACTACATGTGTTTAAGCTGTCACATAATAATGTACAATGTTTATTTGATAAAGTTGGTTTACATGTTCATACTGAGAGTGCGTTTATTTGTTTAATTCTTATATAACTGCAGCTCAAATCATGGGATGTTAGCATGGTTAGCTTAAGTTGACACACACGTTCACTTATTGACCGGAAGTCCAGTGACTGACTGAAACCCCTCGAAATGGATGCATTATAAGAATCATTGCCAGCACATTACAATATTTGCAGAATAAGTATTTACCTCCGAGAATGAAAGCGCCAACGCAGGAGATGAAGCCCGACAGAAAGCTGTTGAAGGGGAAGGTTCCGACGAGCAGACAGTAGAGGAACTGCAGAGCTCCTGTCAACAAGATGTACAGCAAATATGAATCCACCACCTTCAGCTTGTTGGGCGTCGTGGTGGTGTACTCCTCTAGAAACCGTGAAACCACCGAAAGGACTGAGTTCGACATGATTTTTCCGTCTAAAGTGAACAAATGGGTTCAATAAACGAGTTTTGCACCGGTCCCCTTTCTCAGTCGAATGAGTGACGTGTCCTCGTAAACCGGAAGCGGAGTTGGTGTTACACATATTATATTCCGTGTAGGTCGAAGAGAAGAGCAAAGGAGCTCTGTTGTTGTAGAAGGGACCATTGGCGCCTCCCACCGTGCTACAGAGAGGTGTGAAGAAAGGAAAGATGGTCACTCAGACAGTATTTCGATATACGGTTTTGTCAACTGCATTATCGATTCCCAAGATTTTTCCCGGGACCCAAAAGCCCGGTGTAACTAATTTCTCAACCACATAGTCACACCATAAATCATACGAAGCATATTAAGTCTTTCAGGTTTGAATTTCACAAAATATAGTTAATCTTCACAAACACATAGCCTACGAAGATGTTGTGTATAGACATACTCCCCGTCCGTTTGACTGTTGCTAGCTTATAAACACTAAAGCTCTCCCGTTGTCAAATTCGCGAGGTACTGTAGGAATATATAACTTCATGCTTACTATGAACGCCCCGTTAGACTTTGTATTATGAAAGATGAATGACGAGTGATGCTTTTTGTGAAATTGACGCATCCTCATAATAGACCATCTGTGTTCATGGTCAGCTGATTTAAAGAACGGAGTTACAAAACATTAAAAACTAGCATACAGAGCAGCGTGTTATTTCATTTCCTTGGATGTAGTCACCGGAATATGAAATTCAATGGAACCTGCTACTACCACAGCTCCGATGCAAAGCGATTGTGAAACAGAGTAAGTCATTCAAATACATAAACAGACGGAGATTACCAATGCCTTCTCCAGCACACTGCTACTCTGATTACATCATGGTTCAACTTGAAAAAAAACTATAGTTTATTATGTAACTTTTCACATTTAGTCAAACATTAAGATCTGTGTTACAATACCATAGTGCTGTTTTATTGCACCAATATCAAATAGGAAATACAGTACATTTCCTTATGCTTGTGTTGGTCAGTTTAGTTATATATCCATGTGACATTTCACTTACATAATTGTATAGAGAGGTTGTCACTTAACTATAGTATACTAATAAAACACAACTGCATCAGTTGGCTTTATATGACAGAAATAAGGGGAAACAATTAGTACATTAAATGCAAATAGATTAATTGCTAACTTTAACCTGTATTGCAGGGATATGAGGGTTATTATTGAACCAGAGGAGTTGCTACTGATCAAATGGGATTACTTTACTGTGACACTCCTGTCAAACAGGTCTTTGTAAGTTGTATTCACTGGAGAGAAGAGCAGCTGTGACTGACCCTCCACGGTGAGCCAATTGTCAGGATGACTCAGCAATTTTGTATTGCATGTTGATTGCAGAACAGGTGTACGCCCTGATGGTGTACCTGGTCTATTAATGCTGGAGGTTGGAATGTGAAAATGCCTTTTTCTATCTCCATCAAATAGTCGGCCGGGGAAAACCAACCTGGGCTAAATTTACCCAACTTTCACATTTCTTTCCTGAAAATAAAAAGCTTGTCAATAACCTATTTTGTATGTGTTGCCTAGTGTTTGCATGGAACAGTAAACTGCCTGGAATTTAAGTGATTATTACTCTTAAACCTTTGCCTTACTAAAGACATTTTTGACATTTTAATTGTGTTTTCCATGTTGTGCTGTGTGGATGACTATGGTATACATTTGTACAAGAAAATACAGACATGAGGACACAAAGCCATAACACCTTTAAAAACAACAACAGCGTCATTCTGTACAAAAAATGGCAATTAAACGTTTACAATTCTGAATTAAAAACATTTGGTGGTTAATTGCAGTGTTTGGAAGGAACATATTTTGTCATCCAACACAACGTGACACTCGGCGGGGAACATTCTGAATAATTTGGTGGAAACATTTTTATGTGGTTTTTATTAAACATAGGCAGTCAATACAAAAAATAAGGCACAAGGTTTAGGAAGTCAGTGGTAATCATGATTCATATTTCCTATCACCCCTTTGCTATGGGTGTTGGCACTGACTATGATTGACAGAATGATGGCTGTGAAGTCTGACACTCCCCGGCCTGTTTGCTCAATGCAAACAAAGATAACACGTGTTGAATAATTCCTGTACTATCTACCATCTCTTCATTCTTTGTCTTCTGTTTCTCTCTTGTTAGGACAAGTTCAGTCTGGAGCTGGTGGCCTTCCTGGCGTCCAACATCCATGTCCCTTCTAAAGACTGCAGAGTCAAAGATTCTTGCATGTAAGTGTGTTTTGACATACACGGTAGATTGTTGATTTATAGCTTGATGTAATTTATTGATCTCAAATAGAGTGGTGCAGGAATGAGTCCTAAAACCCAGAATTGACTCAGCATTTTACCGCTTCTTGTTCCCTCTTCTCGAAGTAAAAACATGTATTGAACGTGTTTGTGGTTACATGCTTGAAATAAGATCTGTGGTTAACACAAGCTTACATTTTTTTTCTACGACATAAAATATGTCAGTAAATAACCAAGTCGTGAATGTCTAATGCTTCTATGTGTCAAAAAAGCGGTTAAAAGTTACTAAATAAGACTACGATAAGTTATTGCGGCAAGTATTAGCCGCATTTAGCTTAGCGGTGGTGACGTGAAGTCATATGACCTTGATGTAATTTATTTTAAAGTCTAACGAAAGCTTTTTACTTGTGACAATTGCATTTTGCTTCAAAAATAATAAAGTGTATATGAGGAGATTATCCTGCTGAACAAACGTGCAAGTATAGTAAATGTATGGTTGCGACAGAGCTTATGATATACAATATACCGAAATCGAATGGAAAAATCCCATTAGCCGCGTTCACACCGGAGTACTTTTCCCCTTTAGTTCCATTAGTACCCCTTATGTTGCGTTCACACCAAAAAGAGTACTTAGTGCCGGGAACTTTTACCCCCATTGTTAGTGCCTGCTAGAGAGGTGGTACTATCCTGGGGGGAAAAAGTGCCCCAGTTCTGATTGGCTGGGCGAATTGCAAACCACGCCCCGTAAAACTCTGAAAAGTTTTGTGAAGCCGCCATTGTATTTGTGGCATTAGCATTATTAGCATTAGCATTAGCCCCACACACCAACGGAGAGAGAATAACTTATGGCAACACAAAAAAAAACATGGGAGCGGTGGAGTGATGAGGAGGTGTCGGCGTTCTGGCGATTTACTCGGAAGGCTTCAGTAGAAGCTGCTGGGAGTCCCAGCAGCTTCTACTGAAGCCAGTCCCCAACTCCGGGGACTTCCGGCCGGGGACGACTTCCGGCCGGGGACTTCCGGCGGCAGTATAGAGAGGCGAAGTCCCTCCCCTTCCGGTGGGACTCATGGGACCTTATTTCGGAAAAAGTTTGTATTGAAGTCAATGGAGAGAGAACGATTATCTTTCGATCCCGTTTGAATTGTGCCACGAATTACACATGATGTTTGTCAATCTTAAATAATAATTTCCATGTCAAAAAAGTCATAGTTTGTCGTAAAACTGTTGAAATATAAGACTATGAAAAATAGGCAACTAGAAAGACTACGAATCCCAGAATCCCGGTCCCGCATGCTGGCTCTTACGAACCGACTAACTCCCCTTGTGTGTATGTACAGCTCTCAACATGCCCAGACTTGTAGTGATTTTCACCTCTTTTAATACTTTTCGCCTCATTCTGAAAGAAAGAAGTGAAATGTGCCAACGTGACGGCCGTCTTGGTGTGTGGTGCGAGACGGGAGATGTAGTTCATTGAGCGGTTTCACACACAAAAAAGTGTTACTTCACAGTTTTACGACACATTTGAATTTTTTTGACTTGTAAAATGATCTTTTAAATTGACAAACATCATGTGTGTAATTCGTGGCACAATTCAAACGGGATCGAAAGATAATCTTTCTCTCTCCATTGACTTCAATGCATAACTTTTCCGAAATAAGGTCCCATGGAGCTCAACCGGAAGGGGAGGGACTTCGCCTCTCTATACGCCGTGAAGTTGTTTGCAGCCTGCCAGTAAACCCAAAGCAGAAGAAGACGAAGTGACGTCAGCGGCTCATTTGTGTAATCTTCCCTCAGGGAAAAGTACTCCGGTGTGAACGCGATTGGTACTTAGTGCCCTGGGGTAATAAGTGCCGGCACTAAGTACTGCAAAGTACGCGGTGTGAACGCGGCTATTGTCTTTTTGTCCGAGGAGCCTTTTCTATGCTTACTTCCTGGATGGCCTTCAAAGAAACGTAATTTCTGCACTCTATATGTAGCTAATCACTTCCTCTATGTGTGGTCACAACAGGTATCCAGAATGACGTATGGTCTCGGTTTGTGACCCTGCCAAACCGCGATCGAATATGGACTCTGACCCTCACCAACAAGGGGGTGCGCAAAACTGCAGAACAGGGTACCGTCCTACTTTTTGTTTATCACAAGACAACAGCTGTAATGATGCATCATAAGACCGTCGACTAACTCTTTTTCCTCTAGCCCCGAAGACTCCCCTGGTGATGGTCCACGGGTTCGGTGGAGGGGTCGGCCTTTGGATCCGGAACATTGACGCTCTGAGTCGATCGCGGCCTGTTTACGCCTTTGACCTCCTGGGCTTCGGCCGGAGCTCCAGGCCTTCCTTCCCCTCGGATGCTACGCAGGCAGAGAAGCAGTTTGTGGACTCTATTGAGCAGTGGAGAGAGTATTTAGGCCTGGAGAACATGATCCTGCTGGGACACAGTCTGGGGGGGTACCTGGCTACCTCCTACGCCATCCAGTACCCTACTAGGTAATATTACTAATGGGATGCATTTTAAACTTAAGATGATGAGGGGAACAGAACAGTTGTAGTGGTTTAGTAAGTACTGAACATTGAATAAGTCATGTTATATATTAACCAGCCTCATCTAATATTTAAGGTCACCTATTATGCTAAATCCACTTTTTCATGTCTTTTATACATAAACATGTGTCCCCTCTGTGTAAAGGGATTCTGGAAGTTTCAGGAAAAAAGATTTGCTCTCTTTTTGTCCTGATCCATTTCCATATAAAAACCTGTCTGAAAATGAGCTGATCAGATTTTGGCCACTTTATGATGTCATAACAATGTTTTGGCTTGTGTAACCATTAGCCAATCAGGAACCAAGGTACCCCCCCCCCCTTATCACCTGAATCTCCTCCTAGAGCACCATTGTGTTCTTTTTAACCAAATATCTCTCAGAGGGGCGTGGGGAGGGGCTCCTTATTTTCATCTAAAGTAACAGACAGAGAATCAGCACTTTTGAAACAGGGCTGAAACAGAGGGGATTATGGGATGCTACAATGCATGATCTGTTTGGTGTTTGGAGCCAAACACTTCAGAGACATGTTTTGTATATATCTGAGACCTATAATATATTGATGAAAAACAGTATAATAGGGGACCTTTAAGGGTACTATATTACGTTTATTTGTTCGTGTGTTTTACAGTATTGTTTTTAATGCAACATTATTTTTAAGTGACAATCATTTTTAATAGATTTATTTTAACCCTTAATCAATTTTATTATGATTTTAGTTTTTTAAATATATATTTCTAATTAAAATGTGACATCATTATCTAATTGTAAAATGTTATGATTTAGGTTTCATTGGTGTAGGTTACTTCTACATTTTAGGATATAGGAAAGCTTACTCCCTTGCTTGTTTTTGTACAGTGTATATATGGAGCTTAAAAACAACCAGTGAGCTTTTGTACAAAGACTGGAAACCACGGCTAGACTGTTTTTAGGCCAGTCGCTGTCACTTCTAGCTGTCACAGTAACACCAAGAAGGTTTCTCATTTCTCTAATTCCCCTCCTCGACTCCCCTCCTCGACTCCTATCCTCGTGTCTTAGTCCCGCCCACAGGAGATGCGAGCGGAGGAGTCGAGGAGGGGAACCGAGGAGAAAGGAGGGGAAGCAGCAGGCGTTTAGAGAAATGAGAAATCCTCTCCTCTGAGCGGTCATTTTAAAGAGACGTCCATTAATGATGACAGGAGGCACAGCAGCCCTGTCTGATGGACAGATGTGTTCATGGTGACTTATATATTGACTTTTAATTCATTGACAGTGCGGTATAATGAGACAATAACAGGCTACAGATGCGGACATACACACACACATATATTTATATAAATATATACAATTTCAGAATCAAACAATTATGAGAGCACTCTCATAATAACGTAAAACAATCAGAGACTGAATACATCCGTGGAGGATCCGCGGAGGACCCATCAGTGTATCCTCGATTATAGCTCCTCCAGAGAGCCTCCTCGATCCTCGGTCCTCGATGTGCATTTAGAGAAATTAGATGTCCTTCAACATGGCGCGCTGAAATCCATTTCTGGGTCACTACCGGAGGACCAAGGAGGGGAAATTAGAGAAATTAGAAACCTTCCAAGACTCCAGGAAGTGACTTCAACTGGCCAATAAATAAATAGTCTGCAATATAATATATCCGCATATCTCAGCAAGAAAGCCAATTGATTATCAGGTTCTCTCTTTTTCAAATCCTACCTCCATATTGTCCAGTTGGCTCTCTAGCTAGCAAAGAAAATCAAAATAAGAAAATGCCACACATCATGGCGCCTCTTAGCGGTAGTATTCACAGAGACAGCAAAGCGCACTACTTCTTTAAATGCATTTACTGTAGAAAAATTGAATGCCAGTTGAAATGAATATATACTGTCTTCTCCTCTTATAGGGTGTCACATCTGATCCTGGTGGACCCCTGGGGATTCCCTGAGCGACCCCAGCCACAGACCCAGGAGGGTCAGGGATCAGAGATAAACAAGAGGCCCCCCCTTCCGCGCTGGGTAAAAGCTATTGCCGCTGTGGTTTCCCTATTCAACCCACTGGCTGTCATCAGAGCAGCAGGCCCATGGGGTAAGATATCTTATTGATTAGGTAACATTGTGATGTTCCATTTCCCACTCCATCCATCTTACAGTGTGTCGTTGATTCAGGTCCGGGCTTGGTGAACAGATTCCGTCCTGATTTCAAAAGGAAATTTGAAGATCTGTTTGAGGATGACACAATGACCCAGTACATCTACCACTGTAACGCACAGACCCCGAGGTAAGCAAACACATCGCTCATCCACATTTGACTGTTATGTTATGTGACTATGAGAGCAAAAGACCTCCTCCAAGGCAAATGGTGCATCCCAGGATACATTTCCAAACTTTAGTGTGTTCATATGCTAAATGTGGAATCAATTTAGCTTCTACAAATAAAAGGACGTGTCCTATTTTATTGCTCAGAGCGTTTAAACAACCGGGCCTACTAATTAAGGGTGGTGGTAACATGTATTTTACCAGTCTGAATCGTGTCCATCCTATTATTGCTACACCAGATGAATGCAACACAAATGCTCTTTTCAGCATGTTGAAAAAAAAAAGTGTACATTTTTTTTATTTTATTTCTAAAATGAACCGGGTTCTTGCTTCCCGTTTACAACAAGTTTCATGAACATTTTGCCTGCATTTTTTTCTGGAATCTGCATGAGAATGTTTTTTGGATCGTGAGGTTGAGTTGTCATCCAACAATCATTGTTTTGATGCTGGGCATGTCAAATGTTATTTTGGGCAAAATTCTGAACCAAGAATGTGTGTTTGTGTGTAAATGTGTGCTAACCCATGGTGCAGGTAGCCAAGTAGCAAGCTAGCATATGCCATCAGTGTGTGAATGGGTGAGTCCTGGCATGTGTTGAAATGAGCTTTTTAGGGGATATTATGACTAAAAAAAGCGAGATTGAATGCACTCCATTTGCAAAAACGTTTGCAGAAATGTAACTCCTTTGGCAGACATAACTACACACAAGGCCTACAAAAAGCTGACCAATCCTCTACCACCTTTTCCATGTCCTTATCCTGCTCCCCCTCCCAGTGGTGAGGTGGGTTTCAGGGCCATGTCTGAGTCTCTGGGCTGGGCCAAGAATCCCATGCTGGATCGTGTTCACCAGCTGCCCCCCTCCATGCCCCTCACCATGCTGTACGGAGCGCGATCCTGGGTGGAAAGCTCCTCTGGGGACAGAGTGGTCCAGATTAGGAACCAGGCCCACACCAAAGTGCTGGTGAGTAGAGTCATGAGGGAGATATTATCCAATTAGGAGTCTGAAACGGTCCATTGAGTTTGAAATTAGTCATTTTAATTAAATTCATATTTGTTTTTCGTGCCTTTTGGGCATTATGTTTTCGTGTTGTCTGTGCATTCGCAGGAATGTGAAATCTCAGCAACGCCTTGAGGGAATTTGCTCAAATATGTCACAAATGTCCACTAGAACTCAAGGATAAACTGATTATGAGAACTTGTCACAAATATCTAATAGGATTCAATAATGAAATTCTGGTCAGTCATGGATGTTTGCTTTTATTCACTGATTAAGACACTCAACTGCATGGCAGTCATTCTGGTCTGTTCATTTTCTGACGTATGACTGATGCAAGTTTATGTAATCTTTTATTCCCTTTAAATTCCACTCTGCAGCTGATAGATGATGCTTCTCACCACGTGTATGCTGATCAACCAGAGGAGTTCAACAAAGTGGTGGAAGATATATGCAACTCTGTTAACTGAGATGCGCTTGTGTGTGTTGTATGTGTGTGTTTGTGAGTAAAGGACTGAAAGTGTGTAGGAGTTTGACTTTGGTTTTAGCACTGTGTTCTTTTTTTTGCGTTGAGGCATATCAAAACTTCCTGTAGCTCAATATGAGTTTGAATGTAATTGTGTTTTGAATCATAGTGACAGGTTATTGATTTTATCGTAGTGAAGTTGTCATGCCATTTATAAGCTGCCAATCCTCTTTTTTTTCTCCATTGATTTCACTGTATTTTTGGCAAAGCTAACAAATGCTTATCCATTTTTCAGTTACTTTTTCAAAACTCTTAACACAAGCGACAGCACACCTACATCTCACACTCAGCCAAATAGTCGGGTTTCTGCTCAAAACCACTTTTTGACAATGCAATACCAACTCTATATTTCAAAATGCAATAAAGATTTCTCTACATACTATAACTCTACTAAAACACATCAAATCCATCTCCATAATCAATCACACAAAGTCAATCAAAACAGTAAAGAGTATGACTTTGTACCTATACCTGCATACAAAACACAATAGGACATCATTGTGTTTCATAATTCCTTTTACTGTAACCAACTCTCCCATTTTATCCTTTTTTGGGGTGATTGTGGCATTTGTGCATTTCTGGCGACATATAATCCTAAAGTTATAGAATGTACATAAGAAAACAAAGTCAGTTATACAAGCAGTTTAAAACGCTGCCATATAAAAAAATGATATTACATGAATACAGTTAAAAGCACAAAACCCGTACACCTTTAACATTTAGCTAACCCATGTTCTTCTCCACATCACATCTAATGTTGTCTCTTGCTTTGCACCTTTTGATAAAATCGCTTTCCATGTCTTATCTACCCGATTTATCAAATGGGAAAATAAGCATAATGGGGCCCGTTTAGGTTCCTTTAGTGGCAGAAGACGAGGGATTATACTATGTCAAAGGTTGTTTTGTTTCATTTTTGGCATGCTATAGTTTTGTTATAAGTAAACTTGTATGTAACGAATATTTAAGTAACATGTTAATTGACTGCTTACTATTTTTCTTACAAATCATGAAGTGTGATGTTAATGGTGTGGTCCAGAAAAGATAGGTGTTGTGCTAATTGTCTTCAGAGTTTTGAAAATTGGACAAAAGGATGCTGGTGAAAAAATTGTTTGGAAAAAAAAAGTTATTTTGATAGATGATTTATTTATAACATGACTCAATTTGTTTGTTTATGTGGTCATACAGAGTTATAATTGAACTACAATATTCAGTGCCAAATTATGTTGCCAATTTATGTGTTTTTAACGAAGTGAAACAAGCACACCGCTCTGGATCACTGTGTTACGGAGCGGCCACATGGCACTTATTCACACTATTTATGTGCCTGACATTAAGCACTGTATGCGTTTCTTCTTCTCTAAGCCCCGCCTTTCTCGTATATATTTTCCATCGTAAAAAACAGCTGTTTGTATTTTATATCTTGAAAACAATAAAATCCTATTTAAGAAACTGCTACTAATTCACATGTGATGCACTTTGTAGCCCAACCAGTAGAGGGCAGTAACAAGTATAATTGACCTTTGTTTTACATTGCGCTTTAAGATTCTGCTTGTCAGCAGTGAAAATATTATAGAGGAAGTCCTAGGGCCTTTCTCATTTCACTAATTTCCCCTCCTCCTTAGAGAAATGAGAACTCCTCTCCTCCGAGCGGTCATTTAAAGAGACGTCCATTAATGATGACAGGAGGCACAGCCCTCTGTCTGATGGACAGATGTGTTCATGACGACTTATATATTTACTTTTAATTCATTCACAGTGTGGTATAATGAGACAATAACAGGCTACAGATGCGGACATACACACACATATATATATATTGGTATATTTATATAAATATACATTTTCAGAATCAAACGAGTATGAGAGCACTCACAGCATAATAACGTAACACTATTAGAGACTGGATATGTTTAGAATTGTATAAAGCAGGAAAGGTGCGTCATCTGCCTCATGCAACACACCTTTTTTCCGAATACAAATAATGGTTGACTGTAGAGAAGTAGGCCTACAGGTAGCCACTTGCTTCCTCTTTGATTTCAGGATGACATAACTGCATGTATTCCCCTCTATCCAGTAAAGTCTTGTCTAATGTACATGGAAGAAGAAAAAGTCACTTTATGATTTCAGGTGGTTTTCTCCCTCAAGGTTTATTACTATCACAAGTACAATACAGAAAAGAACATTCCAGGTAGATATGGCAGATAAATACTGTAAAGTTATTAAAATACTTGCATTCACATTTTATTTTGAGTGCTCAAGTTAAACACTTGAAGCAGGTAAAGCTACTGTAAGGTGAATTAAGGCCACTGTGGTTAGATATGGTGCAATCTAATTCCTAGCTTAAGGGTTAAGGTTCTTCAAATAGAGAGTTGTAAAGGTGGAAATGTGTTGGTTTTTCAGCGTCGTGAATCCGCATCTGGTGATCATTTGCTGTGCATGCATTTAAAAACTGCTGCATACATCACCACAGTTGAGACACTTCAGAGCAAGGCAGAATAAGAATATTATAAGTTACAAAAACAATAATACTGATAATAATGCTACATTTTCTAATCGCCTATTCGTGGTTTCATATAAAAAAATGCTTCCGTAGTATAAAATTGTTTAAGATACAGGAACTTGGCACACTTTTCATATAACTAGAGGCTCTTAGTTCATATTTTATAAGGAAATAGTGATAGTAGAGGAAGATATTAAGCCTCTCAATTCTCGAGAACGACGATATCAGCCACTCCGTGCACTTGTGTGAGCTGTTTACAGTCGAGACACGCCACCAGCTTCCTGGGTCCGGGCTGGGTTGGGACGAAGTGCTCGGTCAGTGTCACTGTGGAGTGGCCGCCTACATCACTGAGAGGGGGGGGGGGGAAGAGGAGTGGGATATTAGTCTGGAGAAGTCAAGCTTGTTGGGAAATGTGAGGGTGAAGGAAGTGTCTTGTGTTCTTACCCCACAATCACTTCATGGCCCTTCTGCAGACCCAGGCCCTCCACTCTGAACACCACTCCCTTCAGGATACGTGGCAGGGGGTTGGTGAAGGTTATCTTGGCCGCCATCTCCTTGCCAACAATGGCGTCTCCCAAAGGCTGCAAGAGGGGAATTTAAAATGAGTCAGAGGGGTAGAATAAAACATGTTCCTTTTGTTCTAGTGAATTATCTAAAAGTAACTTTAGACATAAAAAGTACTTCACACATACATGTAAATATATCTAATATGTATATAGGACCCAAATATGTATATGTTCATTTTAATTCATTTCTTATTTTAAAGTTACTTATATGTATATAATTAAAAATGTTATCTTTGATTTTATCTTTAATTGTATTCATCTCTAATCTGTGTGAATCTGTGTTGTCCTGTTTTTCATTCTTGTGGGTGTTACCTTGCCAAAAATTCGTTATGACATCATAAAGTGGCCAAAATCTGATCAGCTCATTTTCAGACAGGTTTTTATATAAATGGATCAGGACAAAAAGAGAGCGAATCTTTTTTCCTGAAACTTTCAGAATCTCTTTACACAGAGGGGACACATGTTGATGTAGAAGAGACATGAAAAAGTGGATTTTGCATAATAGGTGACATTTAATTCAAAACATTTACAGTAAGTCTAAAACCTACCGTGATGTTGAGGTCAGGTGTACGGAGCCTAAAAGTGGTCTGGTTGGCTACCACCTGCTGGGTCTCACTGACTCTTCCAGACAGGGTCAGCATCAGAGCGGCCTGATCCACCAGCTGGTTCTGGTACTGTTGGTAGGGCAGCACCCAGTCAATGGTCTTTTCTGTGTGGAAAGGTAAGGAAAAGAGCCATGCTTCAGTATTTTACATTTTCACAATGCAAGTTATACTTTCTCTTTCATTTTAAGCTGATTGGCTTTGCACAAAGAATGGAAACAGGGGAAATAGCAAGCCTGCCTCTGGCCAAAGGTTAAGAAAAAGTTCCCCTCCTGACACCTTCAAAGCTCACTGATGAACTTGTTCCTTTGTTAAATCCATAGTCGCTTATTATTATAGCTCCCCTGGCCGTTCCTGTGCTTTCAACTGCATTAAAGCGAGACCACTGTAGTCACACTTTCTACATATACAAATGAAAAGTCATGAGCAATGCAAAATCCCTTAGCTCAATTCAATATTCTAAGCGTTTTTTCTCAGTGTATATAATGCTGTAACACACACTGAGCTGACTTTTTAAGTTGATATTGCAAAGGTAGCACACGTAAAAAAGCATCAACCACTCTCCTTTTGGCTGTGAATTTGTCTCCACCCACTCCTGAGAGAATAATCAACTGCTTTGTCTGCCTTCTGGCTGTCAAAAGGTACTGTGTACAGTAGTTTTTTAGAGTGTTTTTTGCAGAAAATAGCTGCCCGCTGCTGATGAGAGCAGTAACACTAAATCAAAACAGTTAAGTAGTGTGCCTACTAACCAAAACAATGACTCTAAACACTGAAGAGATGAGTAGATCTGCATAGTTAAATTATAAGATTGTGACTGAGCGACCTCTTTCATACATGTAGCCATTGTTAGTATAAGAATGTTGACTCCAGCAGCTTTGTGGGAGGGCCATACCTTCATTGGGAAGGAGCTCCACAGGTATCTGCTCCTTCCTAATGGTGCCCTTCAGCACACCGGTGTAGTACATGACGGCCACCTGGCTATGCAGAGTGGTGCGGCGAGGTTGCGAGCTCAGGTTCTTCACCATGATGCTCAGCTTGGCGTCAGCACCCATCCTGGGCCCTTCACCCTCCATCTTCACCTCCACTAACACATCCTCTGCAAGGGCCGTGGAGTAAGTATCTGGCTTGCTGCCAAAACGACTGGCAGTCTCCACAGCGATCCGTTCCTCTTCCGAACCTGGTACAGAGGGAGGAGAATGTGAGTGCATGTGATTTTGTCTGATGTTTTAGGATTTATTTGCAGTTATTACGAAACATAGCGCTTAAAGTTGAGCAAACAGATACATACACATTTTAATAATATGAGCAGGTAAAGAGATAAGAGGAATGTGATCTATGCAGCAGAGATAGTATTAAATCATTACATATTAGGATAGTTCAAGGCAGTTATCTCCAGTACCTTCTTGATATTTATACAGGTGTGTGATGTCTGCCCGTTCATCAGAGCCAACTGCTTTAGTACTGATGTGGTGGCCAACAGCTTTCTTCTCGCAGTGGATCTGCGTGAAACCGGCGTCCGGGTTTCTTTGCCAGAAGATCTTATCACTGTTGACCTGATAGACAAGTACATGAGACGTTAATACTGATGATGGAGTTCAACCAAGGTATTGCATCAACATGAATCTAGAATCAACTTTGGGCACTTGCCAATCTCTAGCACTCACCTCAGCGAAGACAAATGGCGTGTCATGTTTGAGGTAGACCTGGCCAGATCGGATGGCGTGATGGGAGGCTGGCCCGCAGCGGAAGGTGCCCTGGCTCGTCTCCTGGGGGGTCGAGTCAACAGCCTGCCAGCCTCCATGACCGGGGGGCAGGTCTTGTCTCGCCATCCAGCAGTCATTCCATACATGAAAGTTCCTAGATGGTTAAAAAATTATGTTTATTTGAGGTCCCGGATTAAGTTATTCTTGGATAAAACCAGGCTAGGCTAAAAGTTAATGCAGGATTTAATATGTTTTACGAGACATTTTTTTTTAAACGTCAAACACGTCATATTATGTCACATAGGGGAGCAACTTTCTCTGACTTCTTCTCTGCCCAATCAACCCAGTCTCACAGAATTTCGTGTTATAGTCACGAAATTAATTTAATCTATTGATTCGTGTTCACCAACACGATTTTCGAATTTTTTTCGTGTCACACAGAACGATTTTAAAAGCAATGTATTTCTATTGGTAGTGTGTTTCGTGCCTGCACCACGTCTTTTGGTCCGGTCGGGTCTTGGAAGACCGGAAGCTGTGTGGTTCATAAAAACATGTTCTTACTCAATATCTTACCCTAAGCCTAACCCTATCCCTTTTATTTTAAATTGTATGATGTCGGAGTTTTTTTGCCGTCCGCGAGGAAAATAAATGGGGCTCAGAGCCTCAGAATACTGACATCTGTATTTCTTGTCATCTTTTTTTCCTTCTAATTTGTTATTATTTGGTGCAGGCACGAAACATACTACCAATAGAAATACATTGCTTTTAAATCGTTCTGTGTCAGGATACTGAAATCTGTATTTTCTTTTATCTGTTTTTCCTTCTAATTTGTTATTATTTACATTGCTTTTAAAATCGTTCTGTGTGAGACGAAAAAAATGGCGAAATCGTGTTGGTAAACACGAATCAATAGATTAATTTTGTGACTATAACACGAAATGCCGTGAGACTGTGTTGGCCCAATTCGCTGCTCTCTCTCTCCCCTCCGGTACACAGCACCGTAAGACGTAGTGTGGAGTTGCATTAGGTAACGCGAGATACGGCTGATACTTGCGCATTAGTTTCTGTTATGGATCAGTATCAACAGTCCTGTCAGTAACGTTACTATATTATCAATACTACTTTAGTTATAGCCTGATATATGATAGCTAACTTTACAATGTTGTGATGTGACCGACGTTAGCTAACATTAACTGGAGCTAACGCCGGTCACTCACCAAGACAGCTGCCCAGTTCTCCACTGGTTCTCCTCACACCACAGCACCATTTCTCTCAGATGGCCGTTATTTCTTCTAATCCTTGGCTGCTCCTGGTCTCTTGGACGCCTAGCAGGCTCATAATTATAAGGTTGTGGTCCATTATATGCATACGAATATAGATTTTCAACCTCTTCTGTGTCAAAACTAGCATTGTGAACCATGTTCATTCATACGTGAGACCGGCCGCTCTCCCTGATGTGAAGTCACACGCGGGTGGTCTTTTTTTATGCGGAAGTAAAAATGTCTTACAAAAACGACGCCAGATGTCACTGTAGTGTATATTTCTGTATATATATTTTTTAATCTAGTGTATACATCATTTTCCTACACATTTATTCACTGGGGTCTCTAACCTGCAAGTTGCTCTTTAAAGTCAGATTTGGGTTACTATAGTTTTACAGAATCGAACGTGTGCAGGTTGGGCAAAAATAGAATCAGATTTCATTATTGATACAATGGTGTAAAAAGATAGAACGATAGTAAGGAATTAGTATGGATCCTATATTTTACAAGAATTATTGATCAAAATGAAGACGGCTAACACTAGCTACATTTAGCTACAGTATATTGCAAAAGTTCATTGTGAACTTTAGCTATGGGGAAACAACAGATGGCACAAATATTTCTAGAGTTATTTTAAAAACAGTACTACCACATAGCAGATAGATACCAGATTAGCATCCGAGTTGTAAATAATTGAACAAGCTTTACGTCTCTGAGGTTTCAAATTATAACGGACTGCTTTTGAAGGACATCTAAATATAAGGCGCATTCCTAAGGTTTGGATTTAGCAGCAGGGTGCCCTGGCCTGGTAAAGTTACACATCTTACCACACAGAGTCACTATTGAGGTAGTCGATTGGCTCCATATCCTCATCTAAATACACATCTGTGGTGAGGGATACATCAGTGTCATGAGCAGACTGGAAGTTGGTCACGCTGCGGGCGGGTATGCCAAGACACCGAAGAACTGGCAACAAAGACAGACAGAGAAAGATTTGTTAGAACTCAATTCAGAAGTTTGTTAATAATTGTATGTTGTTGTTTGTTGGCAGATGCTAAAACTTAAGCATTATGACTTTTCTACCATGATGACGCTTGCATGGGGGCATGGAACTTGTTTAATGATGGCTGACTGAAAGCAACACATGTGGGTCTATTGGGGACAAAAGTGGTAGGTATGATAGGAATGCCTATTCGAAGTATTTATATGAGTGTGTACATGAGCTATGGCTTGCTATCAGGTGCTAAGGTCAGCTAGCTACCATGTGAGGGCTCCTGCATGCATGTACAATGAATGAAGTGTTCTGTTACAGAGCAGTGAGAGCTAATGAAAAGGGCCTGATAGACAGGGAGTCCCTCATCATGACTGTTTATCAAATTTACGTGAACACTGGGAACTTTATGGCCTGCACACAAACAACACATAGAGGAGTCTCTTGTCACACCTCTGTCAGAAAGTATAGCTTTTCACTCGACGAGCTCAACCTGTCTCCATAAACACACAATGTTCCTTCACACTGCATCACATGCTCTGTAATTCTTGATATACTAACCCGTTGTAGTGATCCCAGAGAAGACCCAACACTGTCCGTAAGACACGGGCGTTCCATTGGAGGAGTGGTACTTTCTCAGGATCTCCACGCTGCTGCTCCATGCAGAAGGAGAGACTCCATCAGAGTAATCCCCAGACCAGTTCCCCACCAGGACCCCAAAGTCATCCTGAGCATTTATCTAAAAAAAAAAAATAGGGACACTGTGAATTACAAATGAATCCTCTCATGTATACATTACAATGCTAATTATCCAAGCAGAACACAACCGTTGCTAGCTATGAGAACATTTGGGGTCATGTCCTCTTCATCGTTTCCTGAATATGTTTTTTTTAGTAATCTTTATGTTGGCTACAATGTATGATTGGAAACACATGGCAAACTGTTTTAATGAATATATGGAAATTCGACTACTTTTAGGCCAAAAATAAAGCATTTAGTATTGTCCCACCACGGCTTTGAAACAGCAATATTCACAGAGATACATTTAAAAGTTAACTAAATATATTCAAGGACTTGGACTCATGACCCCCATATTTCTAATATCCTGAGATAGTGGAATGTTGATAAATCAAAACTCACCATGGCAGATAGGACTCTAACCACATTGACAGCATCCCCTCGACCAGATGGAGGCATGTCACTCTTCTCCAGGATAAACATACATGCTTCCAGAACTCCCTCATGAAACTACAGCCAAAACAAACAAAAACACAGATCCTGAGCAACAGACAGCAGGTCACTCGAATGGGGATTCAATTATATTATTGGGGAACAAATTGAAGACGTGTCCTACTTTGAAACATTGATAGCAATAACTACACCAACTGAGAAATATTACACAACAAAGATAGGAGAAGAATTTGTGGTAGAAGAAACTTAAAGCATGTGCAACTGATAATAAATAAAGCCAAAACAATGTGCTGCTGGATATACTCACTAGTGGACCATATGTGTAGTAATCCGCACATAAAAATAGTCCCAAAATAACCCTGTTTATATCTTGTATTACATTTTAAATAAACAAAAATGGTTAGTATTTTTAAAGAATAAAACTATATATTTTGACCCTGTTTTAAAGATGTATATTTCCATTAGGATCGCCTAGGCAATGATATCATTTCCAAACCATAAGCATTCAGTAATTTCCAGTCCCATCTTGTCTTGATAGTCCGTACCTGCCCAAAGTTCCATGTGCGGGCCCCGATCTGTTTCTCTGTGCCATAGTAAATCCTCCCGATGTCATTCAGAACATACTCCTTTCTCTCCTCCTCATCATCCAGGAACACTGTGTCCTCTGGAAAGACATGATGACATTAGATTATAGTAATCCAGTGTAATAATACTGAGAATATATAATTTAATCCAGTTTATCCTATGCTTTAAACGGTTACGTTTGAAAACTAAAGTTGATCCTATTAAACCAGCTTCAACAGGAAATAAGAGGCACTTTAATGTTAAACTATAATTGTATTTAATTATTAGGCTCAATGTTAATATTTTTGCCTTCCTCTGTCTGTGAAAATGACCCACGATCCATGTTTTAATCACCTCTTCAGTGACTAAACCACTCAGGAATGTGATTCATTTTCACAAACTGTGTGAAAGGATACCCAAGGCCAGGAAATGATGAGGAAACACAATGACTCAATGGACCTTGCAGTGGGGCCCACGTTCATTTATGGGAAGCCGCCTGTTTTGAGTGACATCAGCCCTACAGACTCTGACATGCAGTGCATCTCTGACATAAACTTCACAAATCTGTGTCTTTGTTTTTCCTAATCTCTCACCCTTTAATGTTGCCACCGTGAGTGGGTTAGAGGAATTTGATGTAAGGAAAGAAAGGAAAAACACTGTTCAAGATGGACATGAGAAAAAATCAAGTGGAAGGAAGAGGTTTAACAAAGTCATGAGGGACGAATAAGAGAAAGAGGGGAAGTTGTGCTTGGGAGGGGAAGGGGGGAGGGCGTGAGTGGGGCGTGAAGCGTAACAGAGTGTCTTGAGATTTTACAGGAGAAAGTAGAGGCTGAGGCTGACAGCATCTGGCAGCGGTGATGATTGTGTTTTTCACTTCTTCCTGAATATTGGGAGTGCAATGTAGGGAGAAACAGACACACAAACGGGAGGATATGAAGAAGGAGGAAGACAGAAAACAGAACAGTGCAGTGAGGATCAGGCCAACAGATAGCAAGCAGAGAGCAGGACTGGGTGGGAAAGGCATTTAAAGTCAGGAAGTGCACCAGGAGGCAGTAAAAGCGAGGGCGAGGACAGGTTGTCTCCAGCTGCAGGATTACTGTGAGCTTGCCCCATGGCGATTTTGAATTTTATGAGCGTGAGGAAGTGATTGGTCTCGCGAAGAAGAGATTGAAAGAGAGAAGAAGAGATTGGGCTTTCGGGCTAAAAGCAGCAACAGTGTAATGAAGGACAGACCGTATATTTTAATTTTTTTATCAAATCCAGTTCCAACTCTTTTTATTTTTCTGTGTTGCAAATATATTTATTTTGGTCAAATATCCTGTGCGGATAGTTTGCAATGCTCAGCAAACTGAACTCAGCCAGATAAACAATGGACCTTATTTCCTAAGGCTTTATTAACTGAATAAGAGAATAATAAGTACGCATATTCTTTTAAAATAAGACTGACCTTTTTTGTTTTAAATACAAACAGAAAAACCAGTTAGCAACCCAAGGGTCCTTAAAAGTCGGTCAATGCTTAAGTGCCTTAAATATGCTTCCTCTCTATCAGCTAGCAGGGGGGACTCCACTTGTTACAAAAAGAAGTCAGATTGTATAGAAGTCTATGAGAAAATGACAATACTTATCACTTGATTTATTAACTCAGTTAGCATTTTCTTAATGAGTTTGTCCTCTCAATCATTAGTTTAAGTCTTCTGTAATACAGCATGGTGGTCATTTTTTTAATTGTGGTGTGATAAAGAACAGTTTTCTTTTGTGATTGGTTACTTTGTGATAAGGGTTCACCACAAGGGCGTAGTCCTGTTTGGGTGTTTCCTTCTTAAATCTTACTTACACTTTCACAGTGTGTTTTGATTGGTCATTTGTAACATTTTGTTTGCGTAAAATAGTCTTCAGCATTCCCCCACTCGTGTCACTTCTGCTTACTCATCAGTTTTGATTACAGTTTGTTTTTGCTTTTATCTATTTAAAAAAACCAATATTCATGATATTAAAGTGTTTAAAAGTGTTTGATTTATGCACAAACAAAGGTTAAATATCATGTCTTTATGTATAAACATTTCATAAGATGGTCTGTTTTCTTCCTACACACAATCTGTTTGGGTCCCATACTTAAGTCTGCTTGTGATTTAAGTGCTAGCATTCTTGAATCAAAGCCAGTGACCTTACATAATAGTTACACAGCTGTAGCTTTTTGATGGACAGCAACACGCTCATGGGTTGAGTTAGCTTTCCTCGCCCATGTGTTAAATTATATCAGGTCTCCTCTCACAGCTTAAAACTGTGCCAGCACCTGCTATCAGAATGTTAAGGCTATTCATAATGCAGCAGCTATGTTCTGGGAGAACTGGTAGTTGGGCTGTATTAGACAGTTCGCCTGCAAGAAAAATATTGACTTTTTCAATATAACAGTCAAGCCAGATATAAATTGATACAATACTTTTTATGTAATTCTGTCTGTCTTTCCTTCCTTGCTGCCCTCAATTTGTGTTTCACCCTCAGCCATGTGTGCACCCACCACTGCCAATCTTACCTTCACACCAAGGGTTGAAGAGCATGACGATGTTCTTGTCGGAGTTGTAAGTATTTGCCGCCTCGCCTTTCGAAGTGCTGGTTGTCACTGTGAGCCCATACAGGCCAATCACAGCCCTGGCTGGAGAGTTGACAGACAGCTTGATCTTGTTGCCGTTCTGTTCTACAATCTTGGCCTCCCAGCGTTCATCCTCCAGGTGATCCACCAGTGGGATGATGACATGGGTGCGTTTGGACACCAGGGGCAGGGGACCTAAAGCACACAGGTATTATTTGAGTCATGTTGTACCAGTATTCCAAAGAGTAAGAAATAAAAGGAAAACTTTTTCATGAACAAAAGGCCAATGTGTTACAATACTTTTGTGCTACTATTTTATAAAGTTCTGTACCATATACAATAGTCTACCCAATGTAAATTGGAAACATTTTGGGGAAATACAAATGTAATTGTTCGATTGACTTTACTGTAGAGCCAGGCTAGCTGTTTCCCCGTAGTCTTATAGGCTAAACTAATCTAACGGTTTTAACATTGGTTCAGATGTAAAAGATAAATGCAGCATAAATCTTCACATCTAACTCTTGGCTAGAAACCAAAATGAATATAAACCCAAAAATGAGGAGATTAAAGTTAACTACAAGCAACTGATTTGCTATGAACCACTAGAGCAGGGGTGTCAAACTCAAGGCCCGGGGGCCAAATCCGGCCCGCAATTTCATTTTATGTGGCCCGCAAGAGCTTGGAAAGAATATAATAAGTTTATTATCGGTTACATGTGGCTTTACAGAAGCACGTTGCCCATAAACTACATGTCCCACAATGCACCTCATTTTGTGACATGTGCAGTGAAAATACTTGCAATTATTTGCCCCAGACTTCTGCTTTCAGTCATAGTTCATTATGAAGTTATCCCCCTATCCCATTCCTGTATTGTAAATGTTATTATGTTATTGTAAATGCATGTAAATTAAAGGACTTGCAGGGCAGAAGAACACAGCTTCTGGTCAATTGTTCACAAGGTGTAAACAACTTTTTGTTGTTGTGCAGCTAGACTATGTGCTTTTCAATGCTTCCAATGTTCAGTTATCCTTGAAATGTTTTATGTAAATAAGGTTATAGAGCAGAAGTGGCCTTGGAAGGCTTTCATTGCCACATATAGCTGGGAAAGTAGTAAACTTGATTATTCACGTCACAGTGAGTTAGTCTGTTAGTCGTTAGTCTGTTGCCACAGTGGATGACGCACTGGTTTCTCTGAGTAAACAACATTTCTGACACTGCACATACACACACATCTCTGCACAAAGCCAAGAACATCTGTGAGTGTTTTATTAGCTTGGATTTTCCTTTTTACATGGTTTGTTGCTTGGCTAACAAACTGCGAAAACAATTTTGTGCAAACTTTCTCTTGAAGACAATGTTTATCTAAAGTCAATTCTAACCCATGAGCAGTATTAAGACTTATTGGTTGCTTTCCTGTGCGCTATTTGCTTCGTGTCACCCTGCTGGGCTTTAGTTGCCATTTGCCCAAGCGAGTATAGTTTATCAAGAAACCATTGTTCTCTTGCCCACTTCAGCCAGGACTTCCTGGGGACTTGTACAAAAGGAAATCAATGAAAAACACTCTGATTTCGACCAGATTGACCTCACCTTTGTGGAAAATTGACTCTGTATCGTTATGGACCATCCAAGTTGAACAAAATAACAGCTTAGGGTGAAACTACAATACAAAGCCCAGCTTTTAGTGCTGCACTTTAAACCTTTTTGCGACGAATGGCACTGTGAAAGCAAAGGTAATCGTAGCCTGTCGAATGTGAATGGCTCAAATAGCTATGAGCGCCAACACTGCTATGTGATTATCTAAGCAGCAGTGACGGAAAATCGTCTCTCTGTGTTGATGTAAGGGCCATTTATTCCCAAGTGTGCAGTGGATGGTTGTTGTATGAGGCCTGTAAATATCAGAGCGAGGTGTCCGGTGTCCAGCAGACTTGAAGCTGTAAACACTGTGGGGTGGTGGGTGGAATCCAAAACTTGTGGTGCAGCTATGTTTGAACTGCTGCTCGATTTAAATGTGATATATGCTTGGAATTTTGAACAGAGTTCCCATGCTTTGTTTTGAGTCAGCTTCTGGGTTTCACACGGGCTTACAGCAACAACTAGTTAATGGAGAGTCCCACATTTATATTATGGAAAGTAGCAATATAAGGAAGAGGATTAAAGACACATGTGAAATATTTGTTTGAGTTTGGTTAACGTTGTAATTTGATTGATTTTCTGAGTTTGTCGTCAGAATATATTTATAATAAATATATTTCTGAATTTGAATTCTTCAGTGGACTTCAAACTCAGAGTGTTGACTATAATCTCAGAATATAAAAAAATGATTATGAAAATGTATTAATTTAATAAAACTCACTAAATATGAGAATATTATTCTCATAAAAAATATAATTTCTGGCTTTTCAAGTTAATGTATGTACTCTACTATCTACATGCCCCTGAATTCTGCTGAGAGAAACCCTGTGGTTGGGAATTACTGTAGATGACTAACACACTTGGGGTTTGAATGTGAAAAAGTAGGCATTTACTAGACTGGGTGGGTCAAACAAAACCATGTGAATTGCTTTATGGGAACTGCGGGAAGCAGTTTTTGGAGCTTGGTCCATTCTATCAACTTAAAGTATGGGTATATTTGCCTTTGCTGCTACCTTTTTTTCTCTCTTTTAAAAAAAAAGAAACTCCCTTGTGAATCCCCCAAAGAAATAAAAGTGGCCCTTGAGGTTTTTAGAATATATTGTCCTAGTTATGTTCTAATGCTTTGCTTTCCTTTCACCCCAAATTGCTCCTGTGGGGATTGCCCACAGTATTGAGTATGTAAGTCGCTTTGGATAAAAGCGTATAATAAGTAACATGTAATGTAATGACCTTTCTTTACCATATTAATCTGAGATTCTTTTAAGGTATACGGACATGCGTACAGATACTGTCAATCTGTTCCATACCTGTTTTCAGGTCCAGGTGCAGCTTGTCATTGTCAGCACTGAAGGGCCTGTTGAGCTCCATCTCTATCTGGAAGGTCTGTCCTCTGCGGATGATCATATCGTCCCCCTGAAACAGCTCAGTGTGATGCTCCTTTCTGTTCTGATCCGTCTTGGAGCTCAGCAGGTCCACAGAACACACTGACAACTTCATTTCTGAGAGAGGAGAGTCAAAATGTAAGTATGTGTCTGCATGAGTATTGACTTGTAGGGGTGATATTAGTGACATTATTACCTTCCATTTCCTTAGCCTCTCCATTCTCAACCGTCAGCTTTGCAGGCTCAGGGGTAGGGGTCGGGGTCGGGGTCGGGGCTGGGGGTTTGACAAATTCCACCTTATCTGTAACATCATAGGTGTTGCTCTGGGGCTTACAGCAGCATGGACACATCTTCTTGAACCAGCGGCGACAGCCTCCCTCTTCCAGTTTCTTCTCCCCATCTTTATGAATGGTCAGCTCCACCCTGGTTGGTGGGGCTACTCCAGGGAAACGCCCCACCTCTGACGTGCCTCTTACTGCCAACCGCTCACCTGGCATTCTAGGAGACATTTTTGGAAAATTAATTAAGTTCAGGAATGACAATGCAGATACTAGTTATAACTCATAACAGATAACGTGACAACATCATCCTGCTTTAAAGTGATGGGCGTTAACACAATAATGGGTATCTATCAGAATAGCTACCACCTTAACCATTCCTTAATCATCTTGTGATCCGTTAACTTGTGGACCTATTTAGTAGGCTTAGGAACCATTGCACAAGTGTTATCTATCAATGCAAATCGTTTTAGAATTATTCCTCAGGTTTGAAACATTTTGCTGTGAACAGTTTTTATTGGAACCTTTCTCCACAAAAGGAAAACTCATCTTAAGAATACTGCTGACTGCACTGTGTTTTTTCCAGAGTTATGCCTACATTGTTCCTGCAAACAGAACAATGTTGAAACTCTGAACAATTTCATTTAATGATGAGGGCCAAAAACATAATTTCTCTTCATCTCTATTGGGGTGAGTGGATACAATCTCAGAGAGGGAAAAAATAACCAAACCTATCTGCAAAAAAGATAACGTGAGATAATGTTGAAGGCCATAAGCTCAACACCATAGCACCAAAGTCAAAAACACTAATGTTCACACTGTAGAGGTCATTGGCAGTGTGCTACAATATGTTCAATTTTGCCAAGATTTTGCATTCATAACAACCTGATTAACAGAAAATGTTTCCAGTTCCACTTCTCCCTTTTCTTATATCTCCTCATCATCAAACAGCAAATGTACTATTTCTTTCACTTTTCCCCACAATTACAACATTCCAGAATTGCACTCTGCCCAGTCGCCAGGCTTTCTCAAATCATTCTGGGGAATTCAGCCTTTCGTCCTTGTCGGCTACACTCCCTGAGCAATCTAACATACCTCCTACTAGCAGCTGGATTCCATTTGTCTCACCCCAGCTGTTGTGGAATGATGTAATTTGTGTGTGTGTGTCTCTGTGCGTGCACATAGACTGCAGATGTAGGTGTCCAGTACTGTAGATCATATGAACATTTATCACACTGTCACATCCCCTCCCTCATACAGTTCTCTAATAATCACAAAGGAATTAGATCATTTGTCACATTGAAAATAAGCCTGTTCTTTCTGCTCATCCTCAGATTTTAAAATGATGTTCACGTACAGCAAATGTCAACATTATGAAATGTCAACATTATGAAAGTGAAAACATAAAGTGTTTACTATGGACGGAGGGGGAGGAGAACTTTCCGTCCGTTCCTTTTTCTCACCATCTGTAACTTGTTATCATAAAATCCACACAGGGCTATGTCGCTGCACACAAATATAAAACAGTATGAGGCATACCAAAACATATAAGCACTATAGGAGTTTCTTGGGTTCTAGTAAAACACTCGTAAAATGTAATGAGCTGTGGTATAATTAGACTAATTGCATTGTTTTTAACTAAACATGTACATGTATAGGAGGAGATGTTCGGTTTATAGGCCCTCCCCACATTTGTACCATATGCTGTTCCTGTCAATTCTTCCATGACGGTAAGACACCCACCCTATAGGGTTTACAATAATAATGGTGGCCATCTAGCCCTTTAAAATTGTAAGTTATTTAAAAAAAACAGTTTGTCTGTTTAGGACAGAGAGTGAATACACATACTATACAGAGATGCTGTATGAGAAACCAATGTGAGTTTGGAACATTGAACAATGTAAATCTATTCTAGTAGACCTCAACAATGGAATTATGATCAGTAGAAATGGCCATCACATGGGACCTTTAAAGCAAGACTTTTATACAGACAAGCATCGGTTAGAGTAATTTATAAAGCATGGTAACATTTATTTATCGATTTCTTGTTAACTATTTGCATTGGACAGCCGTATCAGACAGGCTAAGCACACTGGATTTGTAAAAAATGCAGTGATAGTGAAGTTATGTGGTGCAGTTCAAAAGGGCAAACAGCTGAGGGAGTGGTGTTAGGGAGGGGCACCTCACAGTATCAGCCCCTCAAAATCCATGTGAGAGTGTCTTTGTGTGTGCACCATCTGTGTGTCTGCTAAATATTAAGGTTTGCTTCAGTTTTTTCAGCTCCTGGACTTCCTAAGTTCATCTGCTGGTCAGATAACATTCCCCTCCCTTTAACTGCTTCCAGATCCTCTAAATATTTGGCCAAAAACATTAATAATCATTGTGATAGTCACAATGGATGGAGTCAGCTGTTTGTATTGCAACACGATCTCCACCCAAAACTAAAGTCACGCTCACTGACCCATTCAGTGCTGCCTTTTCTACATCTCTAATATTAGTTTAAAAAAAGGGAACCAACATGTTCATTAAATGAAGTAAGAATATGACAGCACTCTAAACATTTTAGTTAGAAAGCAATTCATGTAAGTTCATTAAGAACAATTGCATACCTTTTTCTGCAGACAAGGGCTGACTTAATATGTGCGCTGATATTATTTCCAGGTGGTTTTGTTGGTAATTGGTGTTTTCTCAGGCTTTAATAAGCCAAGATGTCTCACTACTGCAACTTAGGAGGACTAGCATTGCCTAATTAAAGTCATCCACTCAACCATCTAATATTTGTTTTTTTTACGGCAACCAACATGTTCATTTAAATGAAGTGAACAAATACAAAAATTACATTATTCACACACCTGACAATGGCTTACCAAATATTTGCCATGATATAATGCAAGATATGATTGTAATTGGGCAAAAAATACTGGAAATATTACCAAATGTAACACCTAAATAACAATGTTCAGGCTGTTTTGTTTGTGTCTTAACATGCTTTAAAAAGCAAAGTTATCTCACTACTGCGCCTTAGGTGGCTTGAAATTCACCGATTAGAGTCATCCACTCAGACCTCTAATACAGTATACATTTTTTAAGAAACCTACATGTACATTGAAATTAGGTTAAAAGCATGATAAGATTCAACACATTTTGGTTTTAGAGCAATTCATTTAAGTTCATCAAAAACAATGGAGCTTCCATGCCTTTACCTGCACACTCAGACAATAGCTGACTAAATGTGCGCAGATAAAAATGCAAGATACAATTATAATAGGGCAAATAAAACTGGAAAACGTTTCAGATTTACCAACTAAAAAAGCCTTTTTCTGTTGTCAATACGTGTCTTCACAGGCTTTAATAAGCCAAGTTATCTCACTAATGCACCTTAGGTGGCCTAACATTGCCCAATTAGAGTCATCCACTCAACCCTCTTAAACCATGCAAATCCATTGCACAGCCTAATTTTTGGCTGCTCTTCACTCACTCTTTAATGCACTAATTTAAATGGTTTTGTAACACAGCCAAGCTTGAAAACAACAGTTAGTTCTTCATCTTTTCTCCCCTGCCTATTGTGTATCACTTCTCCCATTATGCTGTGGCCTCTCCCTCTGGAGCTTTGCACTGACTCTTCAGTCAGTTTGTGTTGGCATGCCGGCACCTCTGGTATGCCCACTGGGCCCCGAGATAAGCTTTTTAAATTCAAGTCACTGTTTCCAATCAACAACACCAGCTTTAAATGACTGCCCCTGTTTGTCTGGTGATTTTGCTCCCCAATGGTGTAAAATTAATGAATTGACTTTAGATAGAAATGTCACAACACACATCACATGCATAACAAATACATCAATATGCGCAGTGCACATCCTTCATAGAGAAGAAAAGGGAATCAGCTACAGTGAAGGCATGAAATACTACAACTAATTGATGTGTTCAATGAAAAATGCTTTAAAGGTCCCATGTCATGCTTTTCCGGTTATTACCCGTCCCCTTGTGTGTTATGAAGGTTTTTCCTTCCAGGAGCTCCAACAAGCCGTTTAGGACAGAGAGTGAATACACATACTTTTGTTAGAAGTATTCGTTGTTCTCGCGCCCAGGAGAGAAGCTTAGAATGAAGAGACTAATGGAGTCTCCGGAAAGGTTCAAATTGGTTGAGTTTAATTAAATGGCACGATGATACAACAAGCAGAGGGTAAGAGGAGAGCAGCTGTTGCCTCGCCGGGGTGAAGGGGTGAAGTCTCGTGGTGAAGAAGAAGAAGTCCTGTCCAGAGCTCCCTCACCTCTCTCTATATCTCAGTGGTGACCCCTCCTCATCAATGGTGGGCGGTGACGTAGGGAGGGAACTTCCCTCCTCTTTCTCATTGTCTTAGTTTCTCTGATTAGGTCATCTCTCTGAGAGTGAATCTTAAATGTATGTGTGATCAACAGACGCTTTTTTAGGGGGTGAGGTTTTGCATACTGTGTCTGTGTATATCTCACTGTCTTGTAGGGTGAGATGGTTTTGCATACAGTGACAGAGGGGGTATCAGCTGCTACGACAAAGCTTACTGTGCGTTTAACCTAAATTACGTCATTGAATATTGATTTTAATTTCTAACAATCCCTCCTTTCACACCTTTTAAGGTGTGAACACAATACTGAAATCAATGAGTTCTTCATAAGACAGCTTTTAAACTGACGGTATGTTTTAGACTAAATTATGCTATAAAACATTGATTTTAATTTCTAACACTTTACAGAGATGCTGTATGAGAAACCAATGTGAGTTTGGAAAATTGCACAATATAAATCTATTCTAGTATACCTCAACAATGGAATTATGATCAGTAGAAATGGCCATGACATGGGACCTTTAAAAACAACTTATTAGAGATATAAAGGGAAGACTTTTTCTTACTGATGGAAACCAATCAGGGGAACTCGTGTTTTTGTTCAACTAAAGAGCAAGACCATGAGAAAAATGAAGGATGACAAAGTTCAATAAAGACACATTTACCTTATGGAGTAAGACCAGCTTTTAAATTGCTAACATACATGGCTTATCATCATAGACCTATTATAAGCCTATAATACGTTGTATTATGGTCTGTTCTTTAAGTTTATATGCTAGATGTGTATGTCTTTCCTTTAGGGATCTTAGCCTCTAATCTTCAACTGAAGGGAAACTTTCCCCTCTCTGAAAGAAGAAACCGTTAGGTCATGCGCGCACTGCTACAAGTCACTTCACATAACATCACAGAAATAACGGTTAGAGTATGACTCCAAATCTTACTTTATCTCCGTGTATTCCTCTTTGGATCAGCGATGGGACGTCAGGTTCGTTCGTATGTCTCAGCGTCAAAGTTTTGGAAAGTTGTTTGTTTCCTCTACTCGCGCCGCTCTTGAATCTGAATATTTATATGGCCGTCATGGAATGTGCTTTAAGCAGACACACCCCTCTCTTCCTCACACCCAAGCCCACCCCATCCTGTATTTGCTGAAGTTTCCCTATCCCACCACGAGGTCCAGTTGCGTCGACAGGGATATTGGTTCGCTGCGTAAGTGGGCAGCACTGCCCACGTAGAATAGAATACATGATGAGTAACACACACACACACACACACACACACACACACACACACACACACACACACACACACACACACACACACACACACACACATGAGGAGAGGTAAACTGAAGGAGGGTAGTGTGTTGCGTAATATTCAGCCTTATTTTTCCAATACAGGAAGGGAGTGGAGGCCGTCAGAGGATTGCAAGGGGATAGGCATTTATTGTTAGCTTGAATGTGTTGTGAGTCAAAATGTAATCATTATACAAAGATTTGGTACACAAAGCATACCCTGCACATCTCGAAGTAGCCTACTCGAGCATTTCAGTTGTATGCTACTTTAGAATTGTTGTACTATAGTTTAAGTTGTATAATATTTTGAAGTCAAACATTGCACTTTTTACTACAAATATTTGATAACTTGAGTTACTTATTACTATTCGGGTTTTATATTAGTATTTTGTGATTTATTGTGACGTGTCTCCATGCTTTCACAGTAAATTTCTCTGAGTAAAATTGACTCAAATTGAAGAAAATTTTACTCTAAAAATATAACATTTGGTCCCAACCTATATAGAGTAAAATGTACTCTTTGTTCAGAGTTGTATTTTTAGAGTTCATTTTACTCTATTATGTGCTTAGATTTGCCTCTGCTTAATGGTTATTTACTCTATGTAGTGTATATTAAAAACAACTCTACTGCCATTTTACTCATAATAGGAGGTAATTTTACTCCCAATCGAACGTAATTTCACTCAGAATAGAATAAATGAACCATAATGATCTTTACAATAAAAAAGGTCAATAAACCAAAGTGCTTAAGGAACATGAGTGGGCGTGTGTGAAGCAGACCATTGAGCGGCCCGACCAAGCAAGGAGGCAGAGGCAGAGGCAGAGAGTTCAAATACAACCCGGTGTGGGCATTTATTCCTCTTTGTGGTACAGGATACACAGCCTCAATATGACTGTCTCACGTGAACACAGTCACCAGCCACCAGGACCTCACACACACACACTAACAGGAAAACAGAACCTAAATACACACAGGACTAATCAAACCAACAAGACACAGGTGAGGAGGGAGGAGAAAACACAGGGCACCAGGTGAACGCAATCACCAGCAACAGACAAGACAGGAGGGTGAACACTTTTCAAACTAAAACAGGAAACAGAGACAGACAAACTAAAACATAGACAGATTGTGACAAATATATGCATAAATGACATATAATCACATGCTTCCTGTGCAATGTTTTAGCGTGGAACAAATGAATATACTTCGCCAATAATGAAGCTATATAATCCGTAACGGAGACCGAGATCAATGGCCCCAGAGATCACCTCCGTTACAGTGTGGTCATGGTTTAACTCCAATAGAATTGACTCTGCATTTTTGATCGCACTCTAGAAGCTATGAGTAATAAATACACTCCAAAATGATTAAATATCACTATTTCAGAGCAAAATAGTAATTACTCTGGAAAAAATACTCACCAATATTTCCTGTGTTAATGTTCAAAAAGGTATTTATTTTTCTCATCCTGCCTGTGCTGCAGCATCTCTTTTCACCCTCTGTCTGAAACCAGAGCCCAGTCTGTTGTGATTGTTTAGCTGGATGGTTCTGTTGTGATTGGTCAACCGCTTAGAGATGTCCCGCCTCTTAGCATATTACGTTGAATGTGTTGGCGCGCTAGCCAATAGAAGTGCAAGTGCTACATAATGATGTCACTTTGTTGCAGAAGTAAACAAAAAGAGTGCAATGGAAGTGTTTCAGGCGAGTGTGTGCGAGAGAAACTCCTTCTTGAGGGAACTTTGGGATTTGATGCTTTGCAGACCATTTACATGCACTAAAAAACTTTAACACACTACAGGGAAAACCCCAAAAAGCATAATGGGACCCCTTTAACCATATTCAACACTATAAAATCATTTGTAATTCATTAATAAAATATATAAATCTGAAATATTGACCAATATGTACTTTTATTTCTGGTACTTTGGGTATATTTTGATTACAATATGTTTGTACTTTTAAGAACTTTTCTTAAATTCTCTGTTACAGAGTATTTCTTTACTCTTGTATTGTTAGAACTGAGAACTTCATAAAACATTGCAAAGTAGCTGCATATCTGTACATTTCTACCTGTAAAGATTGGAAAGTTGTAATATAATTGCCATATAATATAACTTTTTGTAAATTCCAACAATACATTATTTAACCACAAAAAATAAACTGAAACCACAGTTTGAATCATGTGGATGATTTGTGGATGAACCCCCTTTTTAGGAAGTCCCCGGTCAATGTTCTTGTGATCTCTAAAACTTTACAGTACCCTCCCTTGCAAACTTTTGGTTTCTCTGTGTTCTGAAACCTCAGCGGTCAATACAGGAAGGGAGTGGTAACAGTAAGTGCAATGCAGAAGGATAAGAATTGAATGTTACTTTAAATGTGATGCGAGTCATAATGTGATCACCACATGTCTTCAACCATATACAAAGATTTGGTATAGCCTACCCTGCAAAATGTAGTACTTGTACTTAACTTGAAAAATTCCGTTATATACTTTATACCTTTTCTCTACTAGCTATTTGCTCACTTTAACCAATTTCTTTAACTAATCCAAAATATAAAAACTAAGATCAAATGCATGGTTAATCTAACCAGGAATATACAGTATAAAGTGATTTCAATCAGCCCCACCTTTTTCATCTACATTAAAGAAATGTCTCCAAGTATAAAATCATTTTTAATTCAGTGAAATAATGAATAAATCTGAAATGGGCCATTCAGCATAATGTGTTATTTTACTTTTACCACACCAAAATACTGTTTTTAGGATCTTTACTTAAATACTCAATAACAGTAACTCTTTCCTCTTGTACTAAATCTGAGTATGTCTGAGCTACTGCATGTAGCTGCGTATCTGTAAATATCTGCCAATAAAGGTCAGCAATTTGTTCTATCACTGCCATATGATAAACGATTTTGTATATTTAGGCTATACAAATATGATAGTTCCCTAAAAATCAAATCAAAACTAAAGTTGTATTTGTGTCGATGATTCAAGGTTGAACCCCATATTTAGGAAATCTCGTGCCAATGTTCTTGTGATCTCTAAAACTTCACAGGACATGAAACTTCCCCTGCACATGTTTGGTTCTGTTCTGGAAACCTCAGAGGAAAAGCCATTGTGACCTCTCATCCAGTAAAGTTTAAATGTAAACCATATGCCCAAAAGGAATTTGTGATTGTTTTTTGTGATAACAGTCAAAAGCATTGTCTCAGCAGAATGGCAATGAGACAACATGTAATAATTTCAGTTCTTCAGAAGTGCCAGCTAACCAGTGTGGATGACTAGACAGTGTGGATGACTAAAGTTTCCATTGCCCTTTGTGTGATTTGGCAGGAGATCATGATGATGTCAAGCAGTGAATGATATAGGACATGATCATTACTAGAGAAAACCGATGATACATATCTAAAGCCATCCCCTGTCTTCATGGTAAAATGGTCACATCATACCAGCTGAGATTTAAAGAAACTCTGTGAGGCTATAGGTACGCTATGTTAGGATAACAAGATTTGTGGCACCATGGCTAAACAGCATTTTACACAGACTTCCTGCAGTTTATTATTTGCATAAATGTGAAGTTTAATCAGTTAATCTGTACTATTATTCATTACATATAACAATATATATCCATTAAATATGTTACTTAACATTGCTCATAAAAAAAAAAGTGGTCCCTTTCAGAAATAGTTTAGGAACCACTGCTTAGTGCTTGGCTGCTTGAGTTACAGATCGTGCATTCATGAAAGTTAATGTCTTGTATAATCTATTAGAAACAAGAATTTGTGTTATCTACTACTGGAGCTGGAGCACAGCCATCGTAAAAGTTATTAGTTATACCTGTGCTCTTCCTGCTATGACAAGTCAAATTGTCTACAATAAATGTGGACAAACCCCTTCATAAGGAAAATGTATTAAGGTTTCCCCAAGGAATTTTTTTATACATTTTCCACAGTGGTATTTGTAAAAATGACATTTTCTATAAGAATTGCAGTTCACAGCCATGCATTACACTTTTGTCATGACTATTTGTATTTTGAAAAATGCGTACTATTTACCAGTCTTATTGTTCATCTTGGTGCTTTGACACCGGTGTGATTAATGGCACAGACAACCTTTTGCTGCTTCTGCAGAGGAGTGGGCGTGTGAGGAAACACAAAGGTGACCTGGGTTCGCTGACTATCTGAGCATAACAGATGGGCCTGGGTTCTGGCACTTACACTGTACATGGGAAACCAAACAGCAAGTAGCAGGCCAAAGGAAACTTCCTGGCTATGGTAGACATGTTTGGAGAAATGTGTTTTTTGTTTCTAACTTTTTTGTATAGAGAATGGACGAAAAAGTGCCGTTGTTCTTTGTAAGTGGAAATATATGCTCCACTGCACTGCAAACATATACAGCAGGCCCCTGTGTCAAGGAGCGTCAGTGAGAATATTTCTGGTATCCTATTGACACGTCTCTGTTAAATAATAACCAAGTTCCTCTGACCTTTTCTGAACCTAGCACAATCGAAAAATAGCCACAACACACACAACGTAATGATCCTTCGTAGAAATGGCCAGAAAAAAGGAACAAAGACAATTGAATGTCTATATGGTTGAAGGAATAGTTCACTATTTTGCTAAACAAACCTTCTTGACAAGAGTTATGAGAAGATCGATGACATTCTCACGAACCAAAGATACGTGTATTGATAAGATATAGCCAGCCGCTGATTAGCGTAGCTTGACAAAAGTATTGGCAGCAGGAGAAAAAAGCTAGCTTGTACAAAAAAACTAAATTCATATTAAAAGTATAGTCAGGCTTTGTTATAATAGTCTGTGTAATTTGACATGTTACGTGCACAAATTAGATTGATTCTGATAATCTCATCTAATTCTTGTTAGCAAAACTAACAACAAATAAACATAGTTCAACAAGAATAATGAAACC